CAAGGTGTTGTTCAGTTTCCATGTGTTTGATTTTCTTTTTCCTTGCTTTTTTTGTTACTGATTTCTAGCTTTATGGCTTTATGGTCAGAAAAGATGCTTTTTAATATTTCAATGCTTTGGATTCTGTTAAGGCTTGCTTTATGGCCTAATATGTGGTCTACTCTGCAGAATGTTCCACGTGCGTTGGAAAAGAAAGTATACTTGGCTGCTGTTGGAACGAGTGTTCAGTATACGTCCACGAGAGCAAATTGGTTGACTGTAGCATTTAAATCTTCCATGTCTTTGTTTAGCTTCTTTCTGCATGTTCTGTCCTTCACCGAAAGTGGTGTGTTGAAGTCTCCTACTACTATTGTGGAGCTGTCTATCTCTCTTTTCAGAGTTTGTTTTGTGTATTTTGGAGCCCTGTCATTGGGTGGGTATATATTTATTATGGTTATGTCCTCCTGGTGTACTGACCCTTCAATCATTATATATTGTCCCTCCTTATCCTTTGCGGTGGATTTTACTTTAAAGTCTATTTTGTCAGAGATTAATATTGCCAGTCCTGCTCTTTTTTGCTAGCTGTTTGCTTGATATGTTTTTTTCCATCCTTTGAGTTTTAGTTTGTTTATGTTTTTAAGTGTGTCACTTGTAGGCAGCATATAGACTGATCGTGTGTTTTTTTATCCATTCTACCACTCTCTGTCTATTTATTGGTGCATTTAGTCAATTTACATTTAGTGTAATTATTGATAGGTATGAGTTTAGTGCTGTCATTTGGATGTCTTTTTTTTGTGTTGTTGATATTTTCTTTGTTCCACTTAATTTTCTGTGCTGAGTCATTTTTCTTTATGTATTTTCTTTTCATCTTTTTCATTGTTGTTGATTTTGTATTTGCCGAGTCTTTACATTTTTCTTGTTTTTTATTTTGATGTGTAGGGTTGGATTGTTATTTTTCTTTGTGGTTAGCTTAATATTTACCCCTATTTTTCTAAGTTTAAACTAGTTTTTTATTTCTTTATATCACCTTGACTTCCTCTCCATATGAAAGATGTATGACTGCATTTTCTAGCCCCTCTTTTTTGTCTTAATGTTGTCATCTTTTACATATTGACATATCTATTTCCCTATTTTCAGTAGTTTAGCTTTGACTTATTTTTGTGACTTCCCTATCTGGGTTTATATCTGGTTGCTCTGTCTTGTGTTCTAGCCTTGGGTTGTTATATGCTGTTATTGATTTTCTAAGTGGTGGACTCCCTTTAGTATTTCTTATAATTTTGGTTTGGTTTTTAGAAATTTCCTAAACTTCTGCTTATCTGGAAAGGCCCTAATTTCGCCATCATATTTGAGAGACAGTTTTGCTGGATATGTAATTCTTGGCTGGCAATTTTTTTCCTTCAAGGCTTTATATATGTCATCCTTCTTGTCTTCTTGCCTTCTTGTCTACATGGTTTCTGCTGAGTTGTCCAAGCTTAGTCTTATTGACTCTTCTTTTTAGATGACTTTTCGTTTATCCCTAGCAACTCTTAAAATTCTTTCTTTGTCTTTGGCTTTGGCAAGTTTGATTATAATATGTCTTGGTGACATTTTTTTGGGATCTACCTTATGTGGGCTTCAATGAGCTTGTTGGATAGATAGGTGGGTGGGTTTTGCAGCCGGATTATGGGCACCCAATGCTGTTGACTGTAAGGGCTGGGAGTCACCACTTATTCTTGGACCCCTGTCGTGGATGGCTAGGTGGTATGGGTGGAGCAACTAGTCCTCAGGCCCCTAATATGGTAGGTGAGGACCCTGCTTAATGGGCAGAGTGTTGTCAAATGTTACGAACCTACCACTCCACCATATAGCTGATACATTTTAATTTACGCTTCAGGTATATACCCTTTGGTACTGTGCTAATGAGGGACTGTGCTGTTGAAATGGGCCCACACAGGTCTATGCAGCGGTGAAAGGCATTGAAAGTCTGTAGACCCCTTATGCCTGTGCCTAGGCCAAGGAGCTGTGCCTACCCTGAGTTCCTGGCTTAGGGGAGCTGGCAGATTATTGTTTCCTGTTTGTTAATTTGTTTCCTCTGCAAGGCTGGGAGAATGGCTGAGGGCATGTGATGCATCCTACTTCCGGCCCAGGGGATAGAGCAATTGCTGAAGCCAGCCTGGGACTCAGTGCAGACTGGGGAGGCAGCAAGTAAATTGGAGATAGATTTTTTCAAAGGGGGTGTTTTTTGATCTGCACGTTAGATCAGATGTACGTACTTGTCTTTTGCTGATTGAGCGCCACTTTTCACTAGTTCTGGGAGCCCGAATTTACTCTCTGCTGCTGGGTCTCTCCCAATGTGGAAAATACCTCCCAAGCGCCACTAGTTGCCTCACTATTCACACCAGCTGATCTGGCCTGAAGGGTGCTCGCCCCCACAGGGTCAGGTCTGGCAACTCGTCACTGCTTCTGAACTGCCTCTCCCTCCCCCTACCACTCAGTCCAATTCCTGAACTTTGCCTTTGATGTTCAGGGCTCCTAGATTGTCATATATAATCGATCCACTTGTTTTTTCAGGTCTTTGTTGTAAGAGGGATCACCGGAAGCATCTGACTACTCCACCATCTTGGCCCTGCCTCCTCAATTTTTTACTCTATATATCTTATTTGTGTTGTGTCTATTCCATGGATTTTAGTATAGATAACTTATAATTTCCCCACCCTTTCAAATTTTGTCTCTTCTGGAGTGTATCACCTTTCCTATATCCTACTTCTTCTCCTGGAAACTTCTCTAAGGCACTGAGCAGACAATGGCTTGGTCAAATATCCTCAAGTTTCTGTATTTCCACACCTCACTAAGATCTGTTTTATCATACTTGTAGTGTTGAATCCTGTATACATCATTATTCAGTATAAAACAAAATTCATTTTAAGGGGGGCTTATCCTAGATCCCATGAGAAGGGATGTAGTTAATTATCTACCAAAAAAACTTAGTACCCATTTATCAGTGGATTCCCACAGATGATGCTGCCATGGTAACACATTCTAAATTAAATGTACTGTAAGTGAGATAAAGAGAAAAATAACTCTTGGTAACTCTCCATAAAGTCACTTTACATAGGGTAATCACCAAATTAGTGTTTGTTTTCCTCATTATAAACTCATGAGGGCAGGGATTGTGATTACTTTTCCTTTTGTTGTATCCTATTAATAGCATTGGGCCTGGCACATAATAGGTACTCAATAAATATGTGTTGAGTCAATGTATGACTGTATAATAATATAAAAATCAAAGATCTCTTTATATACAATTTCTCACAATTTGTAAATCTTTTTAATATATAACAAGGATTATTAACATGAAGAAAGTATGTTGGATTTTGGTAGAAAGTGCTAAGAAAATAGAAGCTGTTATTAGTAGACGTTAAATAATACAAGAGACTGGCAAAAACCTGTCAGTCTGTGAAATAATAATGCGTAGCACATTAAATATGTGCTTTTATCTATAATGCTTATGTTTATTTTAAGCATAAAACCACAATTTTTTTCCTCTTGGGTATTAATATCTTAAAATATGTTTTCTTGCAGTATTCTTTCTACCAGCAGTTGCATGAACAAAAAAGGTCAGAAAAATTCTTCAAAGTTCTATATGACCGAATGAAGGCTGCTCAGAAAGAGATAAGATCAACAGTGACGGTTAATACCATAGACTTAGGTAGCAAAAAAAGGGACGATGACAATGAATTGATGACGTCTGGCCCAAGAATGAGAGGTAAAGAAGTATTTCAGTATTGGGGAGAAAAGAGTAAGTGAAAAGAGGGTAGTACTGTTTAGATATCCCTTGTCTTTGTTTTCTCATTTATCTTGTTCTAATTATCCCAACTGTGGCTCTGAGCATGGAGCTTCATCCTTAACTTTGTATAGTCATGGGTTGACCCTGAAACAGCTCCGCAGAACCAAACTTAAACAAGACATTATCAGTGCAAATTGACTGGTGACATGAAAATGTTTAATTTTATTGTGACATGCATGCTAAAGAACAATTGCCCCAAACCTTTTAAGTGTTCATGAAATTTAAACTTTAAGAACAGAAATTATAGTACCAAACACCATTGAGAGTTTCTTAGTATTCGAAATAACAAAAGCATCAATGTACTAAATATGAATTATAAAGACATTAATATTTTGGAAGTTTGCCATATCTTCCCCACCTTTTTGTATATATGGACTCTCTTATTTTATATATATCAGAAAGATATGAGCCCTCCTGCAATTGGCTAAGCATTAAGATCTTTTTATTTTTATGTTTATTATCTTTTTATTACTATGCAAATTTAGCTTTTTTGTTCCTACATTAACTCCTTTTTAGAAAATTGTTGCACCTCTTGTCAGATTTTTTTAATTTCAATTTTAAAAGAATTTGGGTACCCGGTTGTCTTTTAATTATCCAAAAGAAATTAGTTCAGAAATATAAGCGTACTGCTTTATTTTCAGTAAGAGATTCATCATTATATTTAAAAGAGGGAATGAAAGGGCAGCTAACAGAAGCATCTTCAGCAACATCCAAAGCATATTGTGTATACAGAAGAGAAATGGATCCAGAAATAGACATTATGTGCGCAGGACCAGACGCAGGAAATGCTGAGGAAAAGTCTGCAGAGGAAGTAACGATGAGTCCTGCAATTGCCATTATGCAACCAATTCTGAGATTTCTTCAGTTACTGTGTGAGAACCACAATCGGGAACTGCAGGTATTTATTTTACTTTGTGAACTCAGCCAGCAAGAGTGTTCAGATCTACACTGAAAGCTGAGACTACAGCCTGTGGTTATAAGTAATTAAATTCAGATAAAACCTACAAGGACTTTTAGAGAGCTAATCAATAAAATCAATACTGCTCTTCTGAAATGGGAAGGAATTTTTGTATCTAAGTGAATAAAAATGTGAGGAAAATACTTTTATTCATGAGAAAAATCAGACTCACATATACTGTCATTCTGTGTATCCTCAAATCAAATTGTGTAAGCCTCAGTGGGCATCACCTAATACTAGTATCCTGCTATATGATGAGGAAGGTCATATTTACCTCATTTATACTTTTCATGATTTTATAGAGGGGCTTTCATCATTTCCATCCTAATTCATATTTCTTTTTTCTTTTTGTGGTAAAAATATACACACTAAAACATTCATCAGCACAACAACTTCCACATTTACAATTCACCAATTCATATTTATTAAGGGAGGATATTTAGTGTATTTATATGTATTCATTAGAAACAGAGTTAATACAGAAGAGGATATTTTACAACAGTAAAGGTTGATGCCTTTGTAAATGAACATAGTCCTGGTCTTAGATCTTTGCCACGTTTTCCTTTGTCAGAGAGCTGAACTTAGGGGTGCCTAGGAATTTTGGACTTTTTTTTTTTACATTATTTATACACACTGCTTATGTCACCATAGACAAGCACATGAAAGGTGAAATAGTTAATTGGCATGATTGAAGGTGAGTATGTTTACCTGAAGGGGTTTCAATCAGCAGACCATCTTCTGGTTAGACATACCTCCCATCATACCAAGTCGTCCATACTACTAGGTGGCGTAGTTGACCAGACTTTACTAATGAATTACAGTGAAACTGACTGAAATTTCTGTAGTAAATCCTGGGATCTGCACCAGAGCCATTTATTCTTGGATTTTCACTATATACTCAATGTTCCTAAGAGCACCCGTCCCAGTGTTAATTAGAGAGACAGCAGAGCAGAGTTTGAAGATGTCTTCTCTAGTAAGGATCTGGAGTACAGGTGTTCTGTGTTGGTAAGACAGTTAGATTTGTATATATTGGAATAAATGTCCTCCAAGGCGGTGAGAAGCCTGAGAATTACAGACTGTGTAAAAAGCTCTGACTCTTGTGGATTACCCCACCATAACTTGGAAGGACTGCTGCCGAGTTGTTGAAGAGAAGAGACCAGAAGTATTACTTCTAGAGGCAGGATAGTGGACATATGCCTCCATGCTTGTTTTAACCCATTGAGTTCTGTCAATGTATAACATATATATGTCATATAGCATCTGATCAAACATTGTACTGACAGAAGTGTGGAATCAAGCACTGTCGAAACCACCACTTATAAAACGGTTGTTTAAATAAGAATGATAAAAACAAATGCAAATAATAAATTAAACAAATTAATATACTAAATTAAAAAATAATTCATTTAAAAAGTAAAAGATAAACGTTTCTCTTCCTGCTCACCCTTTCCCCAGGGACATTCCCCCCAAAATCACTGTTGACAGTTTGTGTTTCCTCTGGAAATTTTTATGTACCTGTAAGCATATACATTTATGTACATATACCTTTAAAAAATATGAAACAAACACATTAAGGGTTATACTATACATAGTGTTCCTCAACTGACTTTTTTCATTTATTAATATATCTCATTAATAAATTGCTTATTACTAGATTATGTTTATGACTCGTAGAAGTTCCTCATTTTTATAGCTTCTTAATATTCCAGTGTTTGGATGTACCATTATTTATTTAATCAGTCATGATCTGGTGGATATGATATGGTTTCCAGTTTTTGCTATTACAAGCAGTGTGCAGTGAACCTCTTTGTGTGCTTATGGATGCATATAGTATCTAGAATAACTAGAAGTGTATATAAGCTGAAAATTTTGATAAATGCTTCCAAGTTGCCCTCCAAAATGGTTGTATCA